ATCAGTCCCAAACATCATTATTATGACTTAAGTATGGACAAAACTAACTTAGATCCGATTACGAAGGATTATGTGTGTAATTCAACCGTAACCTACCAACTCTCAACCACTGTCAAAAACACATATAAAAGAAGGCGTTGCCCAAGTAAAAGGGAGAAGCACATACATATACACAACTATGTGTAAACCCTGGAAACCTGTCCAGCGAAGCCGGTAAAAAAAGCTCGCTATTGGTTCTCTTCTTGTATCCCATTAATATAACCCAAGTCCTGAAATAAGATAATGTGAACTTAAGCTTGGTTTCAACCAGCCGCAACTTTAAAAATCTGCTTTGTCTTTCGTTGTTTAGCACACACCTTATTCTAGCGATTAATCTTAATAACGCATACATCCACCCAATCATATTCTAGGTCGATAGGATATCTATAGTTGTTGCGAATTTTGTAACAACAAAATTCAATTTCTCAAAACAATCAACTGAAGCAAGCAACTCTCTAAATATAAATGGAGCCAGAAACATTTGCCAACTCACTCTTCATAGAATTATAATATTATATGTTCATTTTCACATGAAGTGTTCAACTGTGAAATTTTAAAAACTAGTTAAAAATAGACATGATATTAATCCATTAGATTTTTGTCACGACACAAGCATTAAGAAAACAATTAGCACAACAACAACGACATCATCATTATTATCCTTAAACTAAATGATAGTGGATTATAATTAATTAAATCTTTGACTAGGAGCACAAATTCATAATTTTTCATTTAAAATAATCTAAATTATCTAATCTTGAGAGGTGTTAGGTTGATTACTTTTTAATTCCTTTTTTAGGATTACGATATTTCTAATAATCTGAAATGAGTCAATATTAGTATTCTACCTTAAAGATTATGAGTCTCAAGTTCCACAAATTTCTAATTATTTTAAAAAAAAAAAAAAATTGGGATTCTCTTTTTTTAGTTGTAGGGAAGTTTTTTTTTTTTTTTTATAATTTTAACAAGATTTTTGATAATTTTAATAATTTTAATATTCTACGTTGGAGCTAAAATCCTATAATAAAATTAATCAATTTTAAATGATATGCATGATCTTGTATACAAAATGACGTGTTATTATTATGTATTTTATATCATTATTCTATATAAAATGTATTTATAAATTAATTTTTTTATATTAATTCATACGTCAATTTGTATCACTTAATTTGTATTCAAAATTTATATAGTAGTATTAATTTAAAAATAATTCCTTTATAATTAAACTTTCGCAAATAAAATGAAACTGAGATCCATTTGTTTCAATATTCTCACTATCAGATTCCAATATCTATCTAAAATCCAAAACATTTGTTTCATATCTAAAATATAATTATAATTTATTCAACTTAAAACATTAACAATATTTTTCTATAAAAATAACTCAATTTAATTCAATTTACTGTTTTTAAAATACTTATCTAAAGAGTATAGAATAGTAAACAAGAAGTTATAAGTTTTTCTTAAAAAGCGGACAAGGTCACGAGTTAATGACATTTTCGTCCCTGAAGTTTGAAGAAAGTATCTTTAGTCCAATAAAATTTGGAAAAGCGTTTATAATCCATGTCAGACAACTTACAATTGGAAAAATTAAACAAGGTAAAGAATATCTTCAAAAGATATTTATAGACCTAAACTATTATTATAAAGAGTTTATTCATATAAATAAGAGTTAATATACTATTTATTATTAAATATAAATTAAAGAGTAAGTTTGACTCTTATATTAGATAGTCAAATTTCACTCTAATCCTAATTTTAATAATAAATTACAAGTTTTTATGCATTTTATTTATGATTTATCCCTCCTATAAGTTTTTTTCTAAAAAAAAAATATTCTCTCTCCAAAATTTAAAGATTCTTATGGATTTGAATAAAAGTTTTATTCTTTATATTTAAAAACCAATAAAGAGGCTCTTTATTATATGAAGATGCTCTTTAAATAAAGAATACTATTGGAGATGCTTTAAGGGAATGGTTGTTATTTCATTCTTTCAAGAACAATAAAAAAAAATAAAAAAAGAAACATTTTAATTATAACATTATAAAATTAATTTAATTAAAAAGAAAAAAGAAAAAGACCTAGTGTCCTAGTTATCAATAAAGCTACGGACACCGGGGTTTTTGCACCGAAAATGTGTACCAGCCTACGTGTTCTCTTGACTACACAGTAATTCAGACGCGTGATTAAACAATAAATATTTTTTATGAACGGCGTCCATCAATATGGACGGTCGTTCACTTACATGGACCCCGTCCATATATATGGACGGGAGTCCATTTACTACGGATGGACGTCCCATTAAAGGACGGTCGTCCATCAGTAAAATAGAATAAAAAATTCTAATAAAAATAAGGACGGTGTTCTAGGTTGTGAATGGCCGTTCTTTCATTTTGGACGGGCGCCTGCAAATACGGGACGCCTGTCCAAACTTATTGGTTTAAAAAATAAAATAAAAAATTTGAATACCATCCATAAATTGTGGACGAGCGTCCTTAAGTTTGGAGGACGTCTAACCAAATAGACGCCCGTCCATTATGTATGGACGACAGTCCATACTTAAGGGACGGACGTCCCCTACGTAAACAGCAAATCGACAAACTTCTTTTAGTGTTATTTTCTCACCCAGACAATATTCGATTGCCTTCAGACTATGCAACTTAATTCTTTAGGGAACGCGCTCATTCCTCCACTTTTCACTCAACTGAAATCATATAAAACAGTCTCCTTAAGATACCTATCATGGTGATGAGAGTATACTCATCAGAGCCAATTTCAACAGCGGCGGCGGCTGCTGCTCCAAGCCATTCCCATTCAGAAAATCATGAAACTTAGTACCATTACAACTATACCGGTCCATCTGTCAAATACACGTACAATTCCATCAAAATTGATTAGGCAAGAGCGGGGTTCTCTTGCACACCTATTATCAATTTCAGAAACTCATGAGCTTTGATTAATGGCTCATCTCCACAGAGATAAATGTGGAGACTTAAATAAAAAGAGGAAATATATTGAATTAGCAACTCCCATTCTTGAAGTATACTTACTAGATGACTGGATACTGAGTGAGTCCTCCTTGAAAAAAGACATAAAAGCACTAGTAACAAACCATTAGTACAGACTATATGACATACACTAGTATGAGATATAACATTTGTTGGAACATATTACTCGCTTTTTATAATCGGCATTACTGCAGGAATACAAGATTCTGAAATACTCTACCACAGCGGCACAAAACTGGTTTAGATTATATATATATATATATATATATATATCAAAAAGGCTGAATGCTTCCTCAGCATCTTTACTGACTGCACATAGCAAAGTTCTCCTGTTTTATTAGATTCAAACACGCCATTCAACCATTAATTGCTCCATCCATCACAATATATATTTATATAACCTGCATCTCCAATTGTTAGATCAAGCTCTGATTTTGTTTTTGGTTGAAGAAATTGATTAAGCGTAGTGGCTTTGTTTTCTGCCATCTCCAGTTGTTTCATGCCATCGTCATCATCTCGAGTAGCTGATAATGATGTTGTGAAAGCTTCTAAGGATTCTTCTTCCAAACCCAAACGCAAATCATCAAAAAAATCATCTGGGGCTCCCATTGTAGTTTCTTACTTCCCCGTTAATTCCTACATGTCTCGCCTGTAAAAACAGGATATCTATCTACCCAACGTGGCAGATAAATTTGTACGTAGATTTTGACAGATGGTATAGTTGTAATGGTACTAAAGTTTCATGATTTTCTGAATGGGAATGGCTTGGAGCAGCCACCGCCGCCGCTGCTGCTGAAATTGGCTCTAGTGAGTATACTCTCATCACCATGATAGGCATCTTAAGGGAGAATGGACTGTTTTATATGATTTCAGTTGAAGTGAAAAGTGGAGGAAGGTGAGCGTGTTCCGTAAAGAATTAAGTTGCGTAGTCTAAAGGCAATCGAATATCGTCTGGGTGAGAAAATAACACTAAAAGAAGTTTGTCCATTTGCTGTTTATGTTAGGGGATGGCCGTCCTAAGTGTGGACTGCCGTTCATACATAATGGACGGACGTCCATTTGGTTACGGACGCCCGTCCAAACTTAAGGGACGGCTATTCATAATTTATGGATGGGTGTCTAAATTTTTTATTTTATTTTTTAAACCAAATTAAGTTTGGATGAGCGTCCATTCCTTATGGACGCCCGTCCAAACTTAATGGACGGGTGTCCTGTATTTACGGGTGCCCGCTCAAAATGAAGGAACGGCCGTTCACAACCTATGAACGGCCGTCCTTAATTTTTATAAAAATTTTTTATTCTATTTTACTGATGGACGACTGTCTTTTAAATGGGGATGTCTGTCCGTAGTAAATGGACTCCCGTCCATATAATATAGACAGGAGTCCATGTAAGTGAACGACCACTAGAAAAGTATTTATTGTTTAATCACGCGTCTGAATTGTTGTGTGAGTCAAGAGAATACGTAAGTCGGTATACATTTTCGGTGCAAAAACCCTGATGTCCATAGCTTTATTGCCTAGTTATATACCACCACTCTAAATCCTCGTCCTGTCCCTTCACCGCTCATCGCACCCAAACCCCCAGCCCAGACATAAAATTACTTTTAAATTTTAGTTGTAAAATATTTTTAATGGTTTATAAATTCTTTTTTTATTTTTACTTTTTATTTTATGCCAGTTTTATTATTATATTAATCTCTATAAAGTCTAATTTTTTATTATGTATTTATTCTTCCTAACAAGAAAAATAGGGCTATAATAGACGTTTTATTTCAAAGAACTAGCACGTTCCATAATTTTCTAACGATAACTATCTAACAAAACACTGAACAGGGATTATACTAGTTCTTTCAGATCTTACTGGACCAAAGTGAATTTTTTTTCAAATATTGGGGACGGAAATTATTAACTCCGAGGTCACTGTTGGAATCTGTCATCTCTCTTCAAGATTGGTAGCTACATCCTGTTTCTCCTTAACCAGAACTTTCGCTCCGAGAAGCCAGCACTACAGTCCACAAAACGCACTGTTTCCATTCACTTGAAATCTTATCAAATGTTCTTCTTACTTTCATTTCAAAACTTTGACCATCTCTAGCTTCGCATTGATTCTTCTCTTGCAACTTCGACTCCATTCAAGTAAGATATTTTTCTCTGCAGTACTTCTTCTTTCTTATTATTATTTTTTTCAAATATTTCTTGATCCATTTCAAACATTACTTAATTCTTTCTTTATTTTGAATCGATTTGTTTTAAGCTTTTATTTTCTGATTGGTTCCCGAGAAAATCGACTTTAATGAAAGTGAAAATTTGAAGTTGATTTGTAAAGTTACGAAGAGTATTTGAAAATTAGATGATTACCGTTAATTGCATATCGTATCATTGTAATGCGATCTGGTACTTTGAGTTTAAAGATTACTTAATTCTTTATTTTCGTTTATGCTTTTGTCCTCTGTTTGGTTCCTGAGAAATTTGACGTAAATGAAATTGAAAATCTTAAGTTGCTTTTTAAAGTTACTTGAACCGAAGGGTAATTGATAATTAGTTAATTAATCTTTGTTGCATCTTATAGCATTATTATGTGATCTGTTACTAAGACTTCTAGATTGGCAATGATAATGAAAGGATTTAATTTGTTCTATCTGTTACTTAAATTGGAAGTGAAATTATCACTTTGCTTCATGAAGTTACTTGAACTGAAGACAAGTTGAAAATGAGATTATTAATCTTTGCTGCAACTTGTAGCACTGTAATGCGATCTGTTACTTCTGTTTTTAGATTGACAATAGCACTAATCGGATTTAACTTCTTCAATCTTTTTCAGGTCGTGGAGATAGCATTAGGAGTTTGAGGAATTTGGTTCTGATTCATCGTTGAAGTTACCATGGAAGAGTATGTAATATTTGATGAATTATGTGTTGTCTTAGAGTTGCAGTATCAGAATCTCATTCTTATTATTTTAGAAAGAAAAATTTTGAGGTCATTGTGCAAAAATACTTTCTAGAAATGAACTTCAAATTGCTTATGAAAACACCCCTCTGAATTGCTTTTTCAAAAGTACTTTTAAGTGATTTTGAAATTTAAATCTTCATTAAGTGCTTCTCAGATAAGCAGTTTTGTGATCTCAACAAACACTTGAACCCAACACCACAAAAATTAATCAAAATCGTTTTTAAGTGTTTGGAAGCACTTTGAATGGCGTAAAAAAGTGTGCCCTAGCAAACATAATTTACTATAAAAGATTAAACAAGGGTGTTTAAATTTTTAGGGAAGATGCATTGGAGCTTCTACAAAGATTCCGTCGTGACAGGCATATACTTCTGGATTTCATACTTTCTGGTAGCTTAATTAAGAAAGTTATAATGCCTCCAGGAGCTGTTACACTAGATGATGTGGATTTGGATCAAGTCAGTGTTGATTATGTTCTTGGTTGTGCTAAAAAGGGTAATGTAATGATAGATCTTGTTTTAATTCCTTTTGAGTAATAGTTTTGGGTGTGTAGATTCGGTTTTTGAGAGACCTTCTCTTTCTCTATTTCTTTGTTTTGGTTAATGTAGGTGGAATGCTTGAACTCTCTGAGGCTATTAGAGATTTTCATGACCACACTGGATTACCCCAAATGGTAAGCTATGAATTGCCCTGACAGTTTATTTTGTAATCTCAGTATATCATGATATGTTTGCTTACAGGTATAATCTCTCTAGCTTATTGTTCATCTTTTTTTTTTTTTTTTTTTTTTAATTATCTTTATTAGCTTGGTTGTTTTGCCTATTTCAGAACAATGGCGAATCTGCCGATGAGTTCTTTTTGGTCACAAATCCTGAATCTTCAGGTTCACCTCCGAAAAGGGCACCACCTCCTGTACCTATTTCTACACTACCTTCTATTCCCATTTCAACTCCACCTCCGATTTTTGCATCATCACCTGATGTGTCAGCTGTATCAAGGTCAGAGTCGTTTAACTCCACTCAAGAAAAAGAGCTAACCGTTGATGACATTGAAGATTTTGAGGACGATGATGACATTGAGGAAGTTAATAGTCTTCGGGTTTCAAGACGACGTCCGAATGATGCTGCTGATCTTGTGTTGAAACTACCCTCTTTTGCTACAGGTATTAACATTTCAACCAAACATGTGTAAAAATTATTTATTTCCGGTCCTTGGGAATCTTAAGAAAAGGATATACAAGGCTTAATTTGTTTGCATGTGTTGTGGTCATAAGTTGTTTGCATTGTCTTCTCTTGTAAAAGTATGGATAAATGGAACTGGAAGCTTGACATGTGGTAGATACTACATTCATAAGTATGTGACTTAAATGAGCCAATCTCCTAAGGTAATAAATACAACTTTATTGTGCAAACTGCTAAAGGAAATATGCTACTGCTTCTTCAATTATTATGTTTTAATTTCATGCTTTTCACAAACTGTATATTTTACTCTGTCAGTTTGGAAGTATGCTTTAAATTTTTGGGTTGATTTTATGATTAAAAAGGTGTAGCATTTGTTTTACTATTATTCTTATTATTATAATCTAAATAATCTCATGGTCAAATGCCAAGTAGATATAGGGGCCAATGTAGATTAAGACTATGTTTTAATATACTGACTATTGCCAAACACTATATAATGATATTCTTGGCTTGGAAGAGATTATGTCTATTTTTAGTTAAGAGAAAGGTCATGTATTATTTGAAGTTGAAACTTTTCTTACCATTTTAGAAAACCCCTATATACTTACATTGAAATTCAGAGAAAATGCTCGAGTGAAAGTCAGTAGTTCTAAGTGATTATTACTGAAAGTTCCTACAACTACATCTACTCTTTCCCCCCTTCCCTTCCTTCCTGTAGATAACTATCTATTTCTTAACTCTTTCTGTTCTAAATATTTTTGTTCAATATTTAGTTTTTTCTTGCCAGTTTGCTGTTTGTGATCATAAGAAGTAAATATGGTGTGACTTAATGTGGAAAAAAAATCATATTAGTGTCTGTAATTTTGCTTGACTTTGTCTTAAAAATGACTTGAAGAATTGGTAAATGATTCTAGAGTCCACTAGTATGAATTCTTAACTTTTTTTAAATGCCTCTCATTGGAATACATTGAACAGTTCAATGCAAAAACGTTTGTCAATTCAGCTATGGATTCAAAACAATCAGAGATTTCCTTGTGCCCCTTAGAACTAAAAGTGTTCATACCACTTTGATAGAGCATTTATAATTTTATTTCTGTTTACACAGAAGGCTGTTGTTGATTAACAGAACCTCTTTTAAATGACTATTTCCCACTGGAATGTAATGAATATCCAATTGGGATGATGCCATTACATCATGTATTTATTTATTTATTTAATAAGCAATGATATCATGCCAATTAAACTATGGATTGAAAGCTCTTGGAGGGCTCCTTTTATTGTCTTAGTGAATAAAGTTATAACTGTGACAGAATTGCTTAAATTTACTGCCATCTACATTTAATGTTGTTGATGATAAGAGTGGAGATACAAAGATGCATTTAGTCATGATACATTCTCATTCTAAGGTTCTTTTGTGGCTCAAAAGCCATGTTTATATTTGTGGTTAGTTGCTTCAGTTTATTTGATGATTGGAATTGTAGCACATAGGAACTTTGAGTGATACTGGAAATTAAAATTATATGATTGTTCTTTTCAGGTATTACTGATGATGACCTCCGTGAAACTGCATATGAAGTCCTTTTGGCATGTGCTGGGGCTGCAGGGTAAGCTGCCATTATTTGCTTTGGCTCAAAGATCTGTTTCCTCTCTCTTTCTCGTAGAAAGTTTTATAACATTTTCTCTTGCCATTGCTTTGTAAAGTATATTGACAGTTTCCTTCTCCTTTTCAACTTATGCATTTTCTTCTTCCTTCATTAAACAGAGGCCTTATTGTACCATCCAAGGAAAAAAGGAAAGACAAAAAGTCTAGGTTGATGAGGAAGCTTGGACGTAGTAAAAATGAAAGTATTGTGAACCAGTCCCAACGTGCACCTGGATTAGTTGCTCTGTTGGAGACCATGCGTGTCCAAATGGAGGTTTAAATACTTATTCTTTTATAAGTAAATCTTGGTGTATCAGAATCATTTTTTCTTGCAAAATTTTGTATTTTGCCTTACATATTTCTTTCCACTGAATTCTTTTTGGACTATAGAATTATTTCCTGTAATTGATTATAACACATTTTAGAGAATATTTTTAACATTGTGTATTAATCGTTTTTTATTTTTCTTTTTCAAGTGGGGCACGGGGAAGGTTTTATTCCTCCGATGCATTTTAAAGACATACCAACCATGGTAGAGAATAAAATCTCATGGACTTTTGAGGTTCTAAGTTTTCTGTTTCCTTGATGGAAAACTATCTTGCCTAAAAGGTGCTTTTATAGTGCAACCTTTTTTCTCAAAGTCCTCATTTGAGCTCTTGTCTTCTCTCTTCAAATCCATGTATTATGCTCAAAGTCCTTACCCATTTTTGTCTGGAGATTATTTTACTTTTGATTGTTTTGCTGGATAAGAGACACCATGAATGCATTTATAAATTCTCTTGGTCATGCTTTCATGATGGTTACTTAAGTTGTAACGCTATGCTATGCTTCTTTGTTTTTGCAAGTATTTTGGTGATTCATTTTCCATGAAATGGTTATTGACGCAGATTTCTGAAGGAATGGACATAAGGACTAGACAAGGGCTACTTAATGCTCTTGCTGGAAAAGTTGGAAAAAGAATGGATACATTGTTGATTCCTCTAGAATTGCTATGCTGTATTTCACGCACAGAATTTTCTGACAAAAAAACATATATACGGTGGCAAAAAAGGCAGGTAAGTCCTGTTCCTTATTCCTTTTCTTTTTCTCCATTGGTCCTGTAAGTTATTTGTTTTCAGTAAAATTACATGATGATATGTACCTCTTATATAATTATATATTTGTTAATTTGTGTCACTGCAGTTGAACATGTTGGAGGAAGGGCTTATTAATCACCCTGCAGTTGGTTTTGGGGAATCAGGGCGCAAAGCGAGTGAGTTGAGTATTCTTCTGGCAAAGATTGAAGAATCAGAGGTATGGGCATTGATACTGCCAATCAATTGGTGTAAAATATGCGTTTTTTTTTTCTTTTTTTTCTTTTTTTTTTTTGGTCAATTGGAAATGGGACCAAAAGTTATATGTTTCTTCTGTTGGTTAGCCACAGAGTCTTATTGTTAGTAATAATTCAGATAATCAGATGCTGGTTTTGGCCAAAGGATGAACCCTGTCAATGGAATTGCAATGTTTTTTGACTTGTAAGAGAGATAATAAGAGCAATTGTATGCAAANCTGTTTGTGATCATAAGAAGTAAATATGGTGTGACTTAATGTGGAAAAAAAATCATATTAGTGTCTGTAATTTTGCTTGACTTTGTCTTAAAAATGACTTGAAGAATTGGTAAATGATTCTAGAGTCCACTAGTATGAATTCTTAACTTTTTTTAAATGCCTCTCATTGGAATACATTGAACAGTTCAATGCAAAAACGTTTGTCAATTCAGCTATGGATTCAAAACAATCAGAGATTTCCTTGTGCCCCTTAGAACTAAAAGTGTTCATACCACTTTGATAGAGCATTTATAATTTTATTTCTGTTTAAACAGAAGGCTGTTGTTGATTAACAGAACCTCTTTTAAATGACTATTTCCCACTGGAATGTAATGAATATCCAATTGGGATGATGCCATTACATCATGTATTTATTTATTTATTTAATAAGCAATGATATCATGCCAATTAAACTAAGGATTGAAAGCTCTTGGAGGGCTCCTTTTATTGTCTTAGTGAATAAAGTTATAACTGTGACAGAATTGCTTAAATTTACTGCCATCTACATTTAATGTTGTTGATGATAAGAATGGAGATACAAAGATGCATTTAGTCATGATACATTCTCATTCTAAGGTTCTTTTGTGGCTCAAAAGCCATGTTTATATTTGTGGTTAGTTGCTTCAGTTTATTTGATGATTGGAATTGTAGCACATAGGAACTTTGAGTGATACTGGAAATTAAAATTATATGATTGTTCTTTTCAGGTATTACTGATGATGACCTCCGTGAAACTGCATATGAAGTCCTTTTGGCATGTGCTGGGGCTGCAGGGTAAGCTGCCATTATTTGCTTTGGCTCAAAGATCTGTTTCCTCTCTCTTTCTCGTAGAAAGTTTTATAACATTTTCTCTTGCCATTGCTTTGTAAAGTATATTGACAGTTTCCTTCTCCTTTTCAACTTATGCATTTTCTTCTTCCTTCATTAAACAGAGGCCTTATTGTACCATCCAAGGAAAAAAGGAAAGACAAAAAGTCTAGGTTGATGAGGAAGCTTGGACGTAGTAAAAATGAAAGTATTGTGAACCAGTCCCAACGTGCACCTGGATTAGTTGCTCTGTTGGAGACCATGCGTGTCCAAATGGAGGTTTAAATACTTATTCTTTTATAAGTAAATCTTGGTGTATCAGAATCATTTTTTCTTGCAAAATTTTGTATTTTGCCTTACATATTTCTTTCCACTGAATTCTTTTTGGACTATAGAATTATTTCCTGTAATTGATTATAACACATTTTAGAGAATATTTTTAACATTGTGTATTAATCGTTTTTTATTTTTCTTTTTCAAGTGGGGCACGGGGAAGGTTTTATTCCTCCGATGCATTTTAAAGACATACCAACCATGGTAGAGAATAAAATCTCATGGACTTTTGAGGTTCTAAGTTTTCTGTTTCCTTGATGGAAAACTATCTTGCCTAAAAGGTGCTTTTATAGTGCAACCTTTTTTCTCAAAGTCCTCATTTGAGCTCTTGTCTTCTCTCTTCAAATCCATGTATTATGCTCAAAGTCCTTACCCATTTTTGTCTGGAGATTATTTTACTTTTGATTGTTTTGCTGGATAAGAGACACCATGAATGCATTTATAAATTCTCTTGGTCATGCTTTCATGATGGTTACTTAAGTTGTAACGCTATGCTATGCTTCTTTGTTTTTGCAAGTATTTTGGTGATTCATTTTCCATGAAATGGTTATTGACGCAGATTTCTGAAGGAATGGACATAAGGACTAGACAAGGGCTACTTAATGCTCTTGCTGGAAAAGTTGGAAAAAGAATGGATACATTGTTGATTCCTCTAGAATTGCTATGCTGTATTTCACGCACAGAATTTTCTGACAAAAAAACATATATACGGTGGCAAAAAAGGCAGGTAAGTCCTGTTCCTTATTCCTTTTCTTTTTCTCCATTGGTCCTGTAAGTTATTTGTTTTCAGTAAAATTACATGATGATATGTACCTCTTATATAATTATATATTTGTTAATTTGTGTCACTGCAGTTGAACATGTTGGAGGAAGGGCTTATTAATCACCCTGCAGTTGGTTTTGGGGAATCAGGGCGCAAAGCGAGTGAGTTGAGTATTCTTCTGGCAAAGATTGAAGAATCAGAGGTATGGGCATTGATACTGCCAATCAATTGGTGTAAAATATGCGTTTTTTTTTTCTTTTTTTTCTTTTTTTTTTTTGGTCAATTGGAAATGGGACCAAAAGTTATATGTTTCTTCTGTTGGTTAGCCACAGAGTCTTATTGTTAGTAATAATTCAGATAATCAGATGCTGGTTTTGGCCAAAGGATGAACCCTGTCAATGGAATTGCAATGTTTTTTGACTTGTAAGAGAGATAATAAGAGCAATTGTATGCAAAGATGCATAAGGGGTGCAAATCATAAGATTCCACAAGCATGACTGATATACCAGAATAAAACCAAACATGATAGCTCCATATGTAACAAAAATTTCAAGTGCTAATTAGACTAATACAGTAGACACAATATATGCTGACTTGGTACAGCAGCTAGCACCAATATAAAAACCTAAAGGTCTAAAAGTTCCTGAATATTGTAGGGAAATAATGTACCAAAGAGGCTTCGCAGCTTTGCAAGACAATAAAGATTATGCTGGTTGACTCCTTAAATCCAAAGGCCTCAATACCTCATAACCTTCTATGATGGGAGCTGTAGCTCTGATATGAATTTTTCCCTTTTTTTTCTTTTTTTTTTTTTTTTCTGTGAAAACTTTGAACCTAAAATAAAGGATATATACTGACAAGAGAAAAGCAAACGTTTTCTCTTTATGTCTTCTTATAATCATCCCTTATGTGATCATGTATTTCTTATTCGCGACCTAAAGCCTGAGTGCTTATACAAAAAGGACCAAGAAGTGTACATTACCAAAATGATGCAATAAGTCTAAATCAGGGAAGAGTCTTCTTTTAATGAGGGTCTCTTTTTTCCATCTTTTCCTGTTAACATTCCGGTTAATGTTTTTCATCTATTGCTATTTTTTTTCATAAGAAACAAGGTTTTCCTTCTGCTGTTGATAAAAGTAACTAGGAACATAGATATCAGTGTACTTTTGATCTAGATATAGGTTATAGCATAAAAGTTTTTTCACAATATATTTATTTGAATCTATGTTGCTTAATCTTCTGTTACGTCGATGTTGTTGTTGATGTTTATGCTTTATGAATTCTATGTTTTTCCTGTAATTCTAAGTCCAAAATTATGTACTTTTAATTTCTTTGTCCTCTGGAAAGCAGTTGTCATTTTTATTTCACCATTTTACCTTGTGAGTTTGTAAACTGGCTAAATTTGTTGCAACAAAATGCCACTGGTGGTCTTTCTTTCAGGACATCTTTTGCTATTTTCTCTTATATGTGGCATTATCCGTGGCATCAAGCTTAATAATTTTGCTCTTATCAACATAAGCTTGTTGCTATTACATTTAATCATCATACTATCTCAATTTTTGTGCTTCACTTTGGTATAAATATAAGCACAGTTGCTTTATAGTAACCATTGGTCACTATAATGGTTGTATCACCTCTCTACATTGTTTGTCATTTTCTTGTCAGTAATCTTTGTTAACAAAGTAACCTTTCCTTAAATGGTTAATCGAAATCTAATGAATTAAATCGATGCTTCCAGATTTCTTAAGATGTTATTGGTTTTCCTCATAGTTTAGCAACTTTGGTTAATTGTCATTCAAAGTTATGTTAATTTGCATTTTGGAATGCTTCTATAACTAATGTTGGAATGTTTTCTTTGTGTTTTACTCTTGCCTCTTATCATCTTTGTGTGCTTTTTTCTTTTTCCTTGGTAGTAGTCTCTGCCATCCTCTACAGGTGAACTCCAGCGCACAGAATGCCTGAGATCTCTCAGAGAGATTGCCATTCCATTTGCTGAGAGGCCAGCTCGAGGTGACTTAACTGGTGAAGTATGCCACTGGGCAGATGGTTATCATTTAAATGTTAGAATTTATGAGAAACTCCTTCTCAGCGTCTTTGACATTTTAGATGAGGGGAAACTGACAGAGGTAAGCTCATTTTTGTAAAAGATCACGGTAATATGAAACCAAATAAGAAGGACTTGAGTTTCAAAACAATTTAGAATATCTTTCTGCCTGATATTTTGTGCTTGAATTCTGGGTGAAAGTTTTCCAGAGTTAATAATTTATTCTTTCTGAAACTTATTGCAATAAGTTATCTGTTATGCAATAACTTAAAATTTTTAGGATATTGTAACATCCAAATTGGTTTCTTACTAGTTTTATACAGTGATAAGGGTTATTCATTGTAGATGCTAGAAGTTTTCTTGGACCAACTACAAATTGTTTTATTTCCAGGAAGTGGAAGAAATTCTTGAGCTCTTAAAGTCAACATGGCGTGTTTTGGGGATCACAGAGACAATGCATTACACATGCTACGCATGGGTGTTATTTCGACAGGTATCACAGTCATGGAGCTTTTTTCTTGATGACAAAGTAACTTGTGATCATTAAAATTACTATTAGTATATATTAACTATTTGGTTGTGTAATTATAGTATGCTAGCACAAGTGAGCAAGGAATGTTACAACATGCCATTGACCAATTGAAGAAAATACCACTAAAAGAACAAAGGGGCCCACAAGAGAGGTTACACTTGAAAAGTTTGCATTCTAAAGTTGAAGGTCAAGAGGGTTCTCGGAATTTGACTTTCTTACAGTCTTTCTTATTGCCTATTCAAAAATGGGCAGAAAAACAGCTAGGAGACTATCATGTTCACTTTGCCGAGGTTTGATTCACTTCTTCTAACATTAAATTAGCTATGTTGAAGTTTGATCTCTTCTGAGGCTTAACATTTATTCGGTTCAATAATAGATGGTCATCTATAGTTGATCTGTAGTGTCATTAAACATAAATGACAATGATCTATGTGCTACTAATTTTGCTTGTACTCAACCACTCATGCAATCCTTTTAATTTAATTATCTCTCCTGTACTTGAACTCCTGTTCTTTCTTTTTTTATTTTTATTTTTTATATAACTTAAACTTTTGATAGAACTATGACTTTATGAATTGTGAGTTGAATGTTCTGTTTTATAGTTGCAATGCAACTGAACTGAGTTTTAGCAAATTAACTGAGTTCCTCTTGATAAAATCTTGTTGTAACTTGAGCAATTTTACAAACAATTAAGTTTGATCTTAATATTGTGGTTCATTATCAAGCTTGAATTTGAACCTCAATTGGTTAAGTTCGCTTTTAAGCTTGACTTGGCTTGATAACCTTGCAGAGCCACTTTGACCTGAATTTAAACTTTGTTTTCAAACTTACTGAACCTCAGTCAAGTTAGCAATTTGACCAATTTAGTTGGATTGTGAAGCTACTCTTTTGTTTTATCTGATCATAGATAAAAGATTACAAGGGTCTTAATTTGATTACATTGTAATATTAATTGCCTGTTACAATTTATTACATCTATTTTTGAACTCTATTTTTGAGTCTTAGTATATGAACAAAGGGCATGTGATAGTTTTTCATGTAATAAAACCCTCTTTTGTATTTGGTGGCCCAAGAATTAGATCATTATCATTTCTCTTGTATGATAAACTATGATTTAAATTTTGTAGAAAGGTTTTGTAAGTCTGCTTTGTGATTTTGAAGTTAACACCTTGGGAAATTGTATATTTTCTAATTTGAATACTGTTTCTTTAGCCTTTTGGTCAAATTTCCTAGTTTTGCCACTCAGTATATAAAACTTCTCTGTATAATTGTAGGGGCTACTGATGATGGAGAATGTAGTATCAGTTGCAATGCTTTCTCGGAGGCTTTTGTTGGAAGAACCTGAAGCGGTATAGCCACCATTATTATTTTTTTTCTCTGGACAAATTATCTAATATAAATAGTGTCTAAAATATTTATTTATGGATTTCTATCTTTTAAGTTGATGGGTTGTTTGCTGGAGAAGCAAATATTTGCTGAATACACTGTTTTTTTTATTCTTTTGGGAATTGATGTTTATATGAGCTGAATTAATTATGTTATGTTCTGTATGATTTCGAATGTCACATTGTTTAAATTTTCTGCAGGCAATGCAATCTATATCTGTCACAGATCGTGATCAAATAGAACTGTATATATCATCGTCCATTAAGAATTCATTTGCAAGGGTAAGTCTTACATCCGATTGTTGCAAATTTTAGGGTTTATAATGTGCTATATTGATTAGCCATTCTATTAATTGATCCCCTTCAGTATATTTTTCTCTGCTGTAAATTATGTTTGACATGTAATCGTTGTAATTCTACTTGGAAGGGGTTCTTCGTCTGAGGACCTTTTTTGGCTACAGGGATCTTGTTTTCTTCATAAGTGTACTGATAGTTCATTAATTCTATGACATACTGGAATATGCTTCTTTGTCAGTCACTATATATTGTATTCAGTACATAAAAATGTTAGACCCATTTATTTCTAAATCTCCCTAATTAACAGCTGACAGGTCAAAAAGAGATGTTCAAGGTTAAAATACTGATGTTGACTTGATATCCTTTCTATTCTCAAATATTCACTTTTCTGTGCAGGTTCTGCAGGCTGTTGATAAATCAGACACAAGACATGAACATCCTTTGGCATTGCTTGCGGTAGAGACTACAAAACTTCTGAGGAAAGATTCAACCATGTTCATGCCAATTCTTTCTAAGAGGCATCCACAGGCAACCATTGTTTCTGCTTCGCTTCTTCACAAGCTTTATGGGCACAAGTTGGTAAGCTGATTTGTAACTCTCATTTGGATCCCTCATACAGCATGGATTGTTACTTTGGATTTATGAGATCTTATTTGTCCTCTTTAGAAACCTTTTCTCGATGGTGCTGAACATTTAACTGAGGATGTTGCATCTGTATTTCCGGCTGCCGATAGCCTTGAGCAATATATAATATCACTTATCACATCGGCATGTGGAGAAGAGACTGCAGCTGTCTACTGTAGAAAATTAGTTCCATACCAGGTGAGATAGTTCAGTTTAATTTTGATCTTGTCTAATTAAAATGAAGACAACCTCTAATAGAATTATGTAATAGAATTATGCTTACTTATAAAGTAACAGCAATATAGCATGAAGTTCGTTCAATCTTGAGTGACAGTTAAAAACATTCTTGTGCATCTTTGTTTGTATGTTAGGTATAACAAGGTACTCAATGATTTTTGAATTGCATGCTTTTCTCTCTTTAAAGAAGATGCCATGCTTTGTTTACAGTTTTGCATTGGATCAATCTGCTCCTTGGACAGGTCCAAATTCTGAATATGGCTAAGGAACATGTATCTTATCCATGCATGTGGATTGAAAGTCAAAGATGGATCTTTTTTTAATCTTTCTTCTTTCTACACTGATACCCAGATTTCAGATTTCCACATATTGTAGCATTCTTAGTGCAGTGGAATACCCAATGTTAGGGAATCATTTAGACCCCATAATTCTATGTTAGGTGACCACAATTGATGCTCGTCTCTTTTTGCCTATTATCTGTTGTGAGGGAGTGTAAAGGGAGGAGCTTCAGTCACAAAAAATAATGCAGACAGAGATTACTGAAAGATTTCTTGGAAAATTTAACAAGCATGTATAATCTGTTTTATAACAGAAAACTAAGGGGGCAAGAGCCTATGTAACTCTTTTTTAACAAAGTTTCTTGTTTCTATTGAAAAGGAAAAAGAAGATTAAACATACCTATCATCTTCTTCTCTGAATAATAGTATATATTGATTTTTCCCTGTGAAGTATTCCACACCACTACTTTTCCCTTTCCATGACAAGTCTTCCAAAACCATCTTTGGCTTGCAAAGGCTTGTGATGGAAGTGATTAGAATTCTAAATCTTCTGAATATATGGTATAAACGACCATTTGGCTATTTTGGGGCTGTCTAAGTTTCTCATTTATGGTTGTAGTGTTAACATATGTTTCAATGACCCTCCTTAGGTGATATATGGTTAAATTTCTTTGACCTACTTTATCAGATTGATTGCTTTATCCAATGATACTTTGGTTATTTCCAAATTTTCTTAGTTAGAATTTGGTCCTTTGTATTCATAAATTTGCTTGTTATCTTTTTTCTCTCTCTCTCTCTTTTTTTTTTTTTCTCCAGATTGAGTCTATATCTGGGACATTAGTAATGCGGTGGCTTAATTCGCAGCTTGGAAGAATTTTAGGTTGGGTGGAGCGAGCTACTCTACAAGAGGTAAATATTTAAGATTCTTTCTTACTGCTTATCGCAAAACTTGTTTTTTGGACTAGCCACTGTTTGTCCCTTAGATATGGTCATGGGCTGGCTATTGCCTTTTTTATCAGTTGTTGCTTTTCTAGTTATATGAATGTATCACCTACTTTTTTCTTTCTTTTCTGGTTGTATGCTCGTGATAAACCTACTTGATTTTGGCATCATATATTGTTTTTGGTTTTTGATCTGAACATGCGAACTTTTCACAGGTATTTAAAGTTTTTCCTTGTGATTCTGCTATGTTCACATGAAATAGAAAATTTTCTTCTTTCTTTGTCACTTTTGAGCTTCTCTTTTCGATTGGTTTATGATGCCTATTTTTTCTTTATATGAGTGATGTATCATTAACTAAACAACCCCAGGAATAAAGATAGGTTGACAAACATTTCTCACAACTTTCTCTCACAAACATTGACGTGGCAGCTTATAATTGGTTAGTTCGCATTTGGTCAGGCAGGACCCATTATTGGGTAGGCGGGACCCATTGCGAGTTGACTAATTACGAGCTAACACGTCGCATTTGTGAGAGAAAGTTAGTGAAAAGGGTTTGTGAGTATAGTATTACTGTCCCCAGACATTGGAATTTATTGTTATAGAAGAATCAGTTGCCTAGAGTGGATCAGTTGGTCCGTCTGGAAGTGAGAGGAACTACTTTAATGTGAACGACTACACTAATTTTAGCTTATACTGGAATTAATATTCTGTGTGATGCTCTGTTGGGTTTTGTGTATGTACTTTATATTGCAATCATATATAAACATCTGGATGCTGCTGATACTACTGGCTAATGCTAACTTTTTTAATTTGCAACTAGTGGACTGACATGAATAAACTTGTATGTAAGAATTAGTGTCAGTACTCTGGAAAAGGATGTTGAGTTCAGTACAGTTGCGTTTACTGTTGGCAGCCAAACAAGTGAAGAAAAAATATAAATTTCCCTTGGAGTCTGTTACAGTTTTACTGTTATTGTTGGAGCTTAACCATTTAGGATTAGTTTATGGACATGGTATAAGAATTATGTTGACCACGATGTCTTGTATTCTGATCTTTCATTCCGGTAATTTATAAACTAAGGTGGTTTGTGTTTGAATGTGCATGTGTTTTTGAATCTACATGTTTCACTCCACATGACTAGTCTGTTAATTCAAAATTCATCTTTGCGCATAAGGGGCAGTTAGAGGTTAAAAACTAATTTGGACATTTTCCTAAAATGCTTAACCTTTTAGAATTTTTGGTTTCTTAACAAAGTCAATACTTCTCAACACGTTTGAGACTGTAGGGATGTGTCATTGTACAACATACTACAGTCCCAGTCTTTGCTGAAGTAGAATATTTTATGAAAACTAATATTTAAGAGCTTGAGATGGTCTTGAGTGTAGTTGATGCAAAGCATATAAGTTGCATGGTAAAAATCTTTATTTAACGAAAAGTCAGAAGAGTCAAGTTAAAATGAATGAGAAAGTTTTATTATTGAATTAAGAGTTGAAAACTGAAGTATAAAGTTGGTCTTTGTTTCTGAAATGTAGTCTAGGTACGGTAAGGGTCATTAATTAATTGTGTAACGACAAATACTATGGTTGTTAAGAAGCTACTTGAACACTCATATTATATAATAGTACAGACTATCCAACACAATCTGTTTTCAAGAAAATATCCAATGTTTTCGTGAACTCTAAGTATTCTCTTTATTAAGACTTTTCTCATACTTGTTCTTAGGATATTTCTGGAGTTGAACAGTGTTTGGAGTTGGATTATTGAGGATAGGATACCATATTTAGTTATTTCTTCTTCCTTTTGTTTTCTGTTTACATCAGATGCATGCTTCAGTTTGAGGGTTCTATAATGGTATGATAGATTGTGAATTGTCAAATTGGAATATTGAATATTTTATTTAGTAATATTGGGATCTTGAAGCTCACTCTAGTTTTTATATATAGTAGTTCTTGCGTTTGGACTTCCTGATTCTGCTAACATCTGGCTCACCTTCACTGGAACATCATTAAATTGAAAAGACTAAGGTTGTGTTTGTTTTTTTCACTCAACTCTAAATGGATATTAGTGTCACCTAATAGATGTCTAAAAAAAAAATTCCTATTTTTATATATTACTAATATATCCTTATGTAAAGTTTTATTATATAAAAAATAATTATGGTAATAACTATAATTAACATAGCAACATAGTTATACGAAAAAGTTGGTGAACTAGTAGCCGAAACGTGGTTGCCAGCCGTCGGATTCTGGTGATGAAAATTCTTCAGTCTGTAATGATAGCAATATGTACATCAAAATGACCTTTGACAATCTATCTATTTAATTTTAAATTGAAAACGATGTGCTCACACTTTCTCGGTCAGATCTTGGCCAAATGGTGCATCTATTACTAAAAATAATTATATATAGATAGATTGTTTAAAGATGATCATTTTGATACTAATATTGTTATCTAAGCTCACAAAAAAAAAATTATGGCCATCGGAATCTGGTAGTCACTGCTACAAACAGAGAACTGATTGTAATTTTCATATATTGTATTGATAAATTATACATCAATATATAGGAAAATAAAGAACTAATCTAGGAAACAAATAATCTAATCTAGGAAATGAATAATCTAACTTCCTATTTTACAGATTTGTTCCTAATATATATTGATTATAATCCTAATATCCTATTATAGATTTATACACTTAATCATGCAATATCTGTAAGATTTTGCATGATTATCTACAACACTCCCCCTCAAGATGGAGCATAGATGTTAATCATGCCCATTTTGTTACAAATATAATCAATCCAAACCCCATTCAAAGCTTTAGTGAAAACATCTCCTAGTTGTTCTCCAGTTTTCACATATCCTGTAGAGATTAAGCCTTGCTATATTTTCTCACGAATGAAATGACAGTCAATTTCAATGTGCTTAGTTTGTTCATGAAATACGGGATTAGAAGCAATATAAAGAGCGGCTTGGTTATCACACCACAATTTCGTTGGCAAAGAGGCCATAAGACCAACTTGAGTCAAAAATTGATATATCCATATTTCTTCACACACAGACTGGGCCATAGCCCTGTATTCTGATTCTGCACTAGATTGGGACACAACAGTTTGCTTTTTACTTTTCCATGAAACCAAATTTCCACCAATAAAAACACAGTAGCCCATAGTAGATCTTCTATCTATCTTGGAACTCGCCCAATTTGCATCAGAGAAGCACTCAATATTATTATGTCCATGATTTTCGTACAAAATATCACGTCCTAGAGCTCCTTTCAGATAACATAGAATCTGTTCTAACGTTGCCCAATGGTCAACCGTAGGAGAAGACATGAATTGACTTACTATACTAACAGAGTACGCAATATCAGGACGAATGACTGTTAGATAGTTCAACTTTCCAACCAGTCTTCTATACCTCTCAGAATCTTCAAACAGTTTACCATCTTTGGTAAGTGGCGAATTAGGAAACATTGGCGTACTGTATGGCTTAGCACTCAATTTTCCTATCTCAGTTAATAAGTCAAGTACATATTTCCTTTGAGAGAGGAAGATGCCTTTCTTGCTCCTTGTTACCTTAACCTCCAAGAAATACTTCAACACCTAAATCTTTTGTATGAAACTGGGTGTGAAGAAATAACTTAAGTAATGAAATCCCTGTAGTGTGACTCCCATTGATGATAATGTCGTCAACATATACGACAAGAAGAATAATATCAACTGCCGATTGTTTGTAAAAGACTAAGTGATCAGACTTGCTCTTTGTCATTCCGAACTTTTCAACTACCTGGTTGAACTTTCCAAACCAAGCACGTGGACTCTGTTTCAAACCATACAACGATTTGCGAAGATGACAAACTTTCTCATACTCCCCCTGAGCAACAAACCCAGGTGGTTGCTCCATATAAATTTCTTCCTGAAGGTCACCATATAAAAAGACATTTTTTATGTCCAACTGATGTAATGGCCAAGAATGAGTAGCTGTCATAGAGATAAATAAGCGAATAGAAGTCAATTTAGCCATAGGGGAAAAAGTGTCAGAATAATCCACTCCATAAGTTTAAGCATAGCCTTTAGCTACAAGACAAGCTTTAAGCCTAGCCACTGACCCATCAAGATTTACTTTAACAACAAACACCCATTTGCATCCAATAGGTCTTTTTCCAGTAGGTAAGTCAATCAAGGTCCAAGTACCATTAACATCTAAAGCATTCATCTCTTCTATCATAGCATCACGCCAGGCAGGATGAGATAAGGCTTCATGAACAGTTGTTGGAAGGGAGACAGAGTCTAGTGATGCCACAAAAGAACAAGAAGAAGATGATTGGTGATCATAAGAAACAAATGAAGAGATAGGATAAGTACACCGACATTTACCTTTCCGAAGAGCAATAGGAAGATCAAGATCACTCAAGGCTGGATCCAACGACGAAGAGTCTTGGGCAAGACATGAATTCTGAGGGTCTTCTTGACGAGGAACACAGGTATCAGGATCAATGGAGACTGGATCTGACGACAAAGGGACTGGTACAGGAGGTTCTTGTCGACGAGAATAGACAATGCGAATTGGAGGTAGTGGACGGACAGGAGGTGGTGCCGAAAGAGGAACAGTAGGTGGGGAAGCCTTAGGTGTAGGAGTAGCCGGTAGGGATGTGGTAGTGTAGATTAGTAAGTCATCGTCCACCCCCTGACTTGTATAGGTAGACGAAGTAGGAAAAAAAAGGGGTGTTTTTTAAGAAAATAACATCAGGTGACACCAGATATCTATTAAGATTAGGACAATAGCATCGATATCCCTTCTGAATGCGAGAGTAACTTAGAAAAACACATTTAAGAGATTTGGGATCTAACTTGGTTACCTGGGGTTGAACATCACAAACAAAACAAGTACTACCAAATATCTTTAGTGCAATAGGAAACAAAGGCTTAGACGGGAAGAGAACACTGTAAGGAGTGGAACCATTCAGAATGGATGAAGGCATGCAGTTAATTAGAAAACAGGCCGTGGAAACTGCATCGGCCCAAAACTGTTTGAGAACTTGCATTTGAAATAATAGGGCTCGGGCGGTTTCAAGAAAGTGCCTATTTTTCCTCTCGGCTACTCCATTTTGGGACGGTGTGTCAACACAAGAGGATTGATGAAGAATGTCATGTCGACTCATATAAGACTGAAAAGAACTCTAAAAATATTCTTTGGCATTATCGCTTCTTAATGTCTGGACAGAAGTATTAAATTGAGTTTTAACTTCAGCACAAAAGGCACAAAAATGAGAAAACAACTCAGAACGATTTTTCATTAAATAAAGCCAAGTTACACGAGAGTTGTCATTAACAAAGATAACAAAATATTTAAATCCAGGTTTAGACATAATAGAACACGGACCCCAAACATCCGAATGAACTAATTCAAAAGGGACACTAGCCCGTTTATTGACTCTTGGACTTGAAGGAAGACGATGGTGTTTGGCAAATTGACATAACTCACAATCTAACGAAGATAAATTATTAAACTGAGGACATAGTTTCTTTAACAATGGTAAAGAAGGATGTCCTAACCGGCAATGCGCCTCAAAAGGGGTCAAAATACTGGAACATGCAATGGTTCTGGGCACCTGTGTGTCAAGGATGTAGAGTCCTCCAGATTCATGTCCTTTACCAATAATCTGCCTTGTTGCAAGATCCTGAAACAGGCAATGATCAGGGAAAAATAAGATGCAACATTTAAGAGCACGAGTAAGTTTACTCACAGAAATTAAATTAAAAGCGAACTGTGGTAGACTCAATACAGAGGATAGGGAAATTAACAGAGTAGGGTTAACAGACCCAGACCTAAGAATATAAGAAGTTGACCCATCAGCTAAAGTAATATTAGACGAGGAATTATGTGACTGATATGTTGAAAAGAGACTAGGATTACCTGTTATATGATCTGTGGCACCAGAATCAATGACCCATTTAGAGGACGAGGAAATAAGACATGTATTTGGTTTACTTGACTCGGCAAGAGCAATGATGGAAGTAGATGAGGATTTTAATGATTCTTGATACTGAGAAAACTTGGCAAACTCATCAGCTGAAATCATAACCGTCTTTTCAGAAGTATCAGTAGCGGCAACATGAGCTGACTGAGTTTTCTGGGCCTTATTTTGCAACTTTCTACACGTGCGTTTTGTATGATCGGGTTCATGACAGTAGTAGCACACAATCCCTCCTGGCTCCTAACTTTGATTATCACGATTATTTGAACCCCCTCCTCTATTATTGCTCCTGTTATATGAATGCCCGGTGTCATTATTCTGACTTACAAGAGCACTACTCGACTGAACAGATGGAGTGCTTTCTGTACGAAGAACCCTAGTTAATATGTCTTGGAGGGAGGTGATCTCAGAACTGGCGAGAACTTGAGATTTAGCAGATTCAAACTCAGAAGGGAGTCTAGCTAGGAAACTCATAACCGCCATTTTCTCTCGTTGAGCTTGTTGAACTTTCACATCAACACTCACCGGTAAAAGGACGTTAAGTTCTTCATATATCCTTTTAAAATCCATAAAATAGGCCGTAAGAGACCTATCTTGTTTCTCAGCTTGATAAAAGGCTTTGCATACATAAAAAATATGAGAAACATTCCCTTTCCTAGAATACAAAAAATCTAGATAGCCCACTCACTCTTTCACATATTCACAATGATTAATTAAACCCTACCTCACTGTTGATGGAGTTCCGTATCTGTAAGAACAATCGGGCATCCTCTCTCAACCATGTTTGCTTTGAATCATCTTCAGACGGATCTTTTGTGAGATGATCATCTCTACCAATGCTTCGCAGGTAAAGACGAATTGTCTTACTCCAATCAAAATAGTTATCAAACCCATTAAGCTTATGTTCCGTAATTTTTGACATTACAAGAACCATATCAGTTATAGGCTTATCAGCCATGGTAAGAAGACGAAAAATTAATCTCAACACAAATAGCCAACACAACTTATAGACGAAAATCAACAAACTGACTTCAACACAAATAGCCAACAAAACTCTTCAAAGAACGAAATCTGATACCAAAAGAAATCAACAAAACTGATCTGACCTGGCTGAGATACTGAGGAACTGATCACACAGACTTGCTGGAAATATCAAGACGAAGCTAGAAAGGGTGATCAGAGCACTGTCCTCCGTCACACGCACCCCCACGTGCCGGTTCGTGAATACTGCCATAGATGAAAAGGTGGCGCGTGAGACTCACGCGCTACTCCTCCAATGACCAGACTTCAAGGAATGGTCGATCGGTAGGAGGGGCTTCTTCCTAGGTAGGCGGTGAGAAAAAAAAAGGCCACTCTCCAGGGTGACTCACAAACAATGCTCACTTGGGCAGAAGAAAAAAAAAAAAAAAAAAAGGAAATTGAGAAACAACCTAGAATTGCTCTGATACCATGTTACAAACAGAGAACTGATTGTAATTTTTTTATATTGTATTGATAAATTATACATCAATATATAGAAAAATAAAGAACTAATCTAGGAAACAAATAATCTAATCTAGGAAATGAATAATCTAACTTCCTATTTTACAGATTTGTTCCTAATATATATTTATTACAATCCTAATATCCTATTATAGATTTATACATTTAATCATGCAATATCTGTAAGATTTTGCATAATTATCTATAACAGTCACCAACGGGTTCCGGTCACCGGGAACTTCATTAACTATTGATAAGATAATTAGTTTACAATATATTAAATAAAATAAATTAGAAGTCTCCTTTTTAGTATTATTTAAATTTAAATTTATTATCATATAGGGACATGTAGGTAACAAATTTATGTCGATATAGAAGGGTGCGTTTGGTTTAATATTTTTGATAGGATTTTGGAGATAGTATTGGGTTATTGAATAGGGGAGTATTACGAAGTAAATTTTAAATGTAATTAAAAAAAATAGGGTAATATTTCTGGAATACTGTGCCAAACATTATTTGAAGAATAGGATCCAGAATATGGATAAAAATATTAAGCCAAACATGCAGGAAAGTATTTGGATTATAGAATTAAGTTAAGAAATTTACTTTTTATATTCTGTCAAAACTTTTAAAAATAAGTGACAATTTGAAAAAAAAAAAAAAAAAAACCAATCAAAACTCTAATTCTAATTAGATTTAAGATTTAAGTGGGAAAAACAAACACACCCTAAATGTAGTGAATCTGAAAAAAGTATACCTGCTTCCTACCACCTCATGCACAATATTTAACTGTAACTCTTCACTCTTCATTTCTCTCTGTGTTTCTCAAACATTTTGCCGGAGTTTCTTTCTTCCAATGTTTAATAAAAAGAAAAGGAAGTACAAAGTGCATATGCATTATGCCTGACTTTAACAAGAGCTATTTAGTATATTTTTTCCTGATTACCTACATTCGGTTACTGTTTTATTACAAATCTTAGCTGTTGAATAGATACTACAATCGAGATTTAAAGGTCTTGATGATTCTCGAGCTGTGGACACCCAAACTAGAGATCTACTCTCTCTTTATATATATAAGCTTAAGTATATATGGTGTTCAGATTAGTGGAGTTTACTCATAGGGTAGTCTTTGACCCCGTGGGTTTTACGGAGTTGAATAATCCAATTTACTTCATTTATGGTCAAGCTTGTTTTGATATCCTTTAACAGTTCCTATTCAATATTTGTCATTGGTTAGACTTAAGAGTGGGTTTTAGTTGTTAAGTTACAGTTTGACTTAAGCTCCAGCTTCTGGCAAGCACTAATAAACTCATTTCCTCATATGAAAGGTATATGGATCAAACAGAGTAACAATCACGAACATAACAATGTACAAAAAACACTTATTGTAATTTAATTTATACGATTGAGGGATTTGAACATAAGACGACTTAATCAATCTGGCTTGCTTAGCTCTTTTTTTAAAATATACCTTACCTCTGGGTAATTCTTTTGCAGCGGTGGGACCCGATCTCGCCCCAACAGAGGCATGGGAGTTCAATTGTTGAAGTTTATAGGATTGTAGAGGAGGTATGAATTTGTGTATCTGTGTCAGGTCTGTTGTGTTCTTTTATGGCTTTCCTGTGAAGTAAATTAGGTGCTGGATTACTATATTTCATATTTCATACACATTATCTTTTTGTTCTGTTGTTCCTTAATACATTAGCGTGGCGGTCAGGGTTTTATTGTGGTGAGGCATGATGCTGAGGAAAAGATGGGATGCTACTATTTGTCCTTACAAGCTAACTATAGAAGATGAAGAGAATCATTACCCATGTGATATATTTTTATCAACACTAAAAAGTGGAAATGTGCTGTTTTGACAACTATTTGGGTATTAAGATTAGGAGGAATAGAAGGATTTTTTATGTTCGCGGTGAAGAAGATATCCATTCATTGTAGGTTAGAGTTTGACTTTTAGCTTCACTATGAGCGTAACAAAGAATTTTGGGATTATTATTTCTTCATTCATTTTAATTGGGAGGGAGTTTTGATTATTGGGAGCTTATGGCTGTTTTTGTGTTGATTTTTTATGATCAATATTTTTGGCTATTCGGTATACTCAAAGTACAGCTCTTTCTTGTTTTCTGAAGCTTGCCTTCTTTAGTTGACTACTTGTTCACTTTTGTATAGCTCTTATTATTAAAAAATCTTTACAGTTTCTTATTAAAAAAAATGTTTTAGGTTGAAACAGAAGTACTGTTCTTTTTTTCTCCCGTGTATAAGCTTTATACGAATATCTTTTGCTGCCTATCGTACTCCATATGTTCATGCATACTGATCAAATGATGGATTTAATATTAATGACCTTAAACAATTACCAACGTGGATTTTTTAAAACTAATGTTTTAAATGAGACTCAGATTCTAACAACTTTGAAAGACACAGATGGTATGAGAAAGATTTGTAACATCGATAATATGCACATTTTATGAGGGGTTTTATCAATCAAGTTATGAATAGTGACATTAAAATGTTTGCCATGGGATTTGGTCTTTATGGAAATGGATTTAATCATTGTCTAGATCCAAGTTTGATTAGACACTTTCATGCCAGTTGTAGAAATTTGTTTGTGGAGTTTCAGAATATTACAGTTTTAATGTCATCCACTAGAATTGGCTTTGATTTTTAGATATCTTTTCCGACATAACCATGTATCACGATGTGGAATAATGAACATTACTAGTACTTTTCATCATAATTAAAATTTGATTTGATTGCAGACGGTTGATCAATTTTTTGCTTTTCAAGTTCCAATGAGGTCTTCAGAATTGAATGCTCTGTTTCGTGGCATCGACAACACATTTCAAGTCTATTCAAATCATGTTATTGACAAGTTGGGTATGTTTGTCATATGCATTATCAGTTGATGGATTATAGTCGTTTACCCATTTCTAGAGTAATTGCACTATATGAGAAAATTGCTTGTGTTAACAGATAATTTAGGAATTTACTTATATAATTCAGATTTTTTGATGTATTTTTGTTTTCCTGAATTTACTTTCTTATTGAAATAGGATTTGAGTTTCTTGTTAGGAGTAGATTTTTGGTTTCTGTTGCTGATGTAAGACATATTAGACACGAGAGTTATGTTTAGAGTCTTTTTAAGGCTTGTTCTTTGTTTTCCTATACAAAGTGTATGGAAGTGAATATTTTGTTATATTAAAATCAGCAATTAGTGTCAAGTGTATGTTCTATTTTTGTATGACTAGCATTTTGTTTTAGTGCCTTTTCAGTTTCTTGAAGTGTGCTATTTTCTTCTTATATTGTAACCTTTCCTGTTTGTTTTAAAGTTTGGATAGGAGAATGTATTAGGACTTCTACTTAGGATTTTTTTTTGGTGCATTGAGTTTTATCATCATATCCAATCTTCTCTTTACGCTAATGGAGTGCTCATTTATTTTGTATGCTATCAATTTTGTTCTCTTATTTTCTTGGTGCATTTTAATGCAGTACTTCTGTCATATTTTCTTTGTTGTTTGCTTTGCTTTGAATCTCCTTTTTTTTGTTTGGGAGTAGGTGCTTGAAAAGTCTTTCTTCATGAATGCATTAGTCTGTTCTCGTCATTTTTTGCTATTGCTACACTTACAACATCTGTTTCCTACATTTCAACATCTTACTAAGTGGACTTTGAATTTGTGATTTTGGGATTTAGGTAGCAAAGAGGATTTAGTTCCACCTGAGCCTGTCCTCACACGATACAAGAAGGAAGCCGGAATAAAAGCTTTTGTGAAGAAGGAACTATTTGACCCTAGGATGTCTGATGAAAGAAGGTCGAGTGAAATTAATGTCTTGACGACGCCAACTCTTTGTGTTCAGTTAAATACTCTACATGTGAGTTCTAGCCTTAATTTCTCTATGTTAGTAAAGATAACGGATCTATTTCTGTCTTTTGCCCTGAGGATGAGGTAGTTTTTGATTGTTCATATAATTGTTTGATTTGATAAAGTTTATGTTGGCATCAGCCATTGGAAAGTTGACAAATTTTGAGTTAAACTTTCAAGTGTTTGCACTAGTTGCTAATACTTGGTAGAGCCGAAGAACTTGTTTCCTTTATAGGTAAAGAGAAACACGTAAAATAAAGCATGAGCAGCTTGCAAGCTCAGTCAAGTTAAAATGAAACTGAAGATAGGACAGTTTGGAGGATAATATGGTCATGTTTGATCACCTTTTCGGTTTTTGGTAAAACGTATTATGAGTGGAAGTCTGAACTGATTAAAGATCAATTGGATTTGTACGGTTTCAAATTTTTTTGGCTACTCCTATTTAGAGAAGAATTTGTTGGGTTTCTGAATGAAGGAGGTAGTTAACGTGTTTTCAATATTGCTTTTTATTCTGTTTCCATCGAACATCTTAAGTTTTTATTTGGATATCTGGATTGCCATAAGATTCAGGTCATAGATATCTCCCATCCCAATTAAGAACTTTTATGAAGGCCTTCAGTTTTTATGAATTTAGGCTATACTTATTTGATAAATGTAGTTATATAAAAAAATCATTTGCTGATGCAAGTTATTTTTTTTTCAATGACAGTATGCAATTAGTCAACTAAATAAGTTGGAAGATAGCATTTTGGAGCACTGGGCAAGGAAAAAACCTCGAGACCAATTTGTCCGTATGTATCTAAACATTTAAACTATGCTTTTAATCTTCCCATTTACATTATTTTGATTGAAACTTAATACCATCAATTGGAATGCTTTTGTTTAACCCCTTACCTTATGCAGCTGTTCAGATGCCACCTTTGAATTTTACTGTAGTTTACATATGTTTACTTGATGGGTTCCCCCTAATTATGCTATCTTTGAAAGGACATGCTTCTGTGGTTTCCTCTTGAGTGTTAACATATGAAGACTTGTTTCACTAATCTTTTTGTTGGTAGCGAAATCTGTGGATGAGAAATCCAAAGTCACACAGAAAGATACATTTGATGGGAGTAGAAAAGAGATAAATGCTGCTATCGACCGCATTTGCGAGTTTACTGGTATTTCTTTTTCTTGTTTCCAAGTCTAATTTCTTTAAGGAAAAATACATGATTGCTGATTATTATACCTTTTGCATGTTGCAGGTACTAAAATTATTTTTTGGGATTTGAGGGAGCCATTTATTGACCACTTGTATAAACCAAGTGTTTCCAGATCTAGGTTGGAAGCAATAATTGAACCACTTGATATGGTAAGTTATGTCCCATTCGTAATCTGTGTTGACTAGTGCCTTGTTACTGGACTATTTTTCTTTCTGTAGCATAAGAAAGGGAAAAAAAGAAGCTGAAAGCATGGGAATTTAAATTATTACCCATGCCTTGTAAGCTGCAGAGCTACTCCAGTTATCAAACTGCTTGATGTCGTCAGATTAGTTCCCCAAGGGACCAGGGGCAAAAGTAAAATTGATGCATAAGTTTTCTTGCCAAAAAAAAAAAAAAAAAAAGTCAAGAAAAACTAATTTTTGTTCTTCACATTTTAGGCCCCCTAGCAAATTGTCTTTAGGTTATATTCTTGGCTTGTATATTTTAATTTGTGTCTCCTGGGCAACGATAGCTGATTATGGATTTGAACAAGTTAGCAGTGTAATCAAGAAACACGAATATTATCCATACATATTAAGCCCCGTAGCAACTCAGTTGGAGTATATTCATTCCTTGTTAAGCATGTCTTCTTAACGTATTTACTGGAGCAGGTGTTGTACTGTCAAACGCAAATACGGACAATGATAAAAAATACTATACATATCATATGACCTTATCAGATCTTTTAACATAATGAAACATCATAATCTCGAAAGGTTTAAGCAAATGGGATCTGCTATAACCACTTAATGAATTCTGTAGGTTGCCTGTCAGTTTTAAGACTACTTAACAAACATATACTCACCTGAGAAGTTTAATTAGAAGATTAATTTATTCAAACTTGCATATAGATTGATACTGAGATTGGGGCTGTTTGACTTAACTGCTGCAGGAACTAAATCAATTATGTGATGTTATTGTGGAGGCACTTCGGGATCGCATCGTAACTAGTCTACTTCAGGCATCACTGGTCTGTGCGTTGTTTTGTCTACAAATTTCAAAATATCGTTGGAAGTATATTTTTTTTGTTGATAATATTTCTTTTTCCAGGATGGTTTATTACGTGTCCTACTAAATGGAGGTCCATCACGAGTTTTCTTCCCTAGTGAAGCAAAACAGTTGGAAGAAGATTTAGAAATTTTAAAGGTATTGCCCAGTAACTCGTTGTCAAATATAAAGACAGTAGGAGCATTTTTGTATGGCAAAAAAGACGGTTGTTCGATGTTGCTTTCAATGCGTTCAAAAGTTATGCCTTTCTTGTTGAAATTTCAACAATTTGATGCTATGTAACACTTTATTATATTAACTTGATTGAAACTAGATATTTTCTGCTAATAAAATTTTGGTACTTTTCGGTAGGAATTCTTTATTTCTGGGGGAGATGGGCTTCCTCGAGGAGTGGTAGAAAATCAAGTAGCACGTGCTCGGAGTGTAGTAAAGTTGCATGGCTATGAGGTCAGTTATTGCGCTTTCAGTTCAAATGTTTTAATCATTGATGCTTTATATTTGGGAAAATTTAGTTACTATCTTCGATGAGGTTATTAGTTGCAGTAGTATATGAAATAATACCTTTTTCTAGTGCTAGTATTATTACCATCACAAAAGTCAGCTTGGTCGGATTGTTATAACTACTTGTAGCTCTTTCTTTATGTTTAATGTTTACTAATTGATAATCGTTCACAGACACGGGAGCTGATAGAGGAATGTAGATCTGGAAGTGGTGCGGATTTGCAGGGTAGTAGTGCCAGAGGCAGATTAGGAGCTGATACCGACACTTTAATAAGAATTTTATGTCACAGGAGTGATTCAGAGGCCTCTCAATTTCTGAAGAAACAGTACAAGATACCCAAGTCTACGGCCTAAAGAATTCATGAATTCTTAAAATTCAGTTACGGCGTAAATTAATGTTACATGTTCATTTGTACTTTTTAGTACCCGTTTTGTACATTATAATTTTATTGTTTTGAGAATGTGATTATACATATTGTTTTTCTTTTTATTATATGCATTAATTTCTTTTATTCTTTTGTGTACAATATGTAAGAAGCACTTCTTTTGCAGAGTTATGAAATTTGCTTCCTTTTTGTTTCAGATTAGAAGTATGACCAATAAGATTATTGTATCTACGGTTATGGTTCTGAACTTAATATATTTATTTACTTTAATCGCAGATTTGTTACAATTTGAATGGCCAAATTCAGTAGCATTTTTCAAATTTCTAGTTCAGAAAAATGAATCTATTTTTAGGTAAAGGTATGAAGTGATGGATGAACATTAAAAGCATCTCAAACTTCAATTATAATTATTTATATCAGTAGTCTACTTAAGTTATGTTAAATTTATAATAGTGTTTTAAAACCTAGCCCTTCCCGGCCGGTTGAATCAAGACTCGGGGCCTTCACCAGGCTGGATTACACATTTTTCTATTTATTAAAAACCCTAGAAATTAGGACATCAATCTGTGAATAATTGAAAACTGTAATGTTAGGGCTTTTAAAGATCAATGGTTGGTGAGTACAATGGTGGCGATGTCGATGATTTCTAGTGAGTGAATTAACTGGAAATTGTAAAACTACGTCATCAGAAAAAGCTTACTGTTGTCAGTGATTAGGGAGGCGAATGGGGGAGGGGTGAGATGAGTTTTGATTAGGAGGCTTAGGGGAGTGTTTTTATGGTGATGTTGAGTGTTGTTGTTGGAAACAAACCCTATTTGTCAAAGCCGACGATGGTGTTTGGGGGTGTGTTTGCAAGGTTTTAAACCTATAGGTACTTACATAATTTTTAGGGATATGTTTGTTAGATTTTAAACGTTTGGACATCGGTTTGACCCGTCGGTCAAACCAACCAAACCGGTCAACTCAGGACTTGGCCACTTTGTCGGGTTTCACCTCAAGTTAGGTTTTAAAACACTGATCTTTGGCCATATGGCATTTTTCAACTAGATCCACTATGGATCTGGCCGGAAAATGCTAGGTCGACGCACTATCGGCTAAATCCAACCAATAGTGTGCCATTACGGTAGATTATGACCATCTCTAATGGTGGTGGTTGGAATCTGATAAATGTGGGTGGGTGGGGTTGTTTTTGTTAATTTATAAATTTTTTTTTGTGGGAGTGTTTAATTAAATTAACAAATCTAAGAGATTTAAAAATAATTGAATAGAATATGATTGAATTTTCAGAATAAAGAAATAAATATGTATTTTTGATAGGATGGGAAAAAATAGTAAAACAAACGCAGCCAGGTTTTTAGATTTTTAATTTGACTGAAAATCTAAATTTAATTACAACTTTAAGAATCTAAATAAATAAGTGGTTCCGTGGCCCTCCCACTTGAAAGAAACAATAAACATTGACAATATCCATTTATTTCTCACTTTCTCAACTTCTTTAATACAGAAGAAAAAAAGATTAAAACTAAAAAACTAAAAGAAAGAAATATGTTTGGACTTGATTTTGGATCATATATGAATTGGTAAGGCTTTTTATATCAACAATCAAATAAATGATGCTTTTCGTATCAAAATAGTGCATTATGTCGTCAAGGAAATTTCGGTTGGTCTCTGAAATTGGACCAATTACGGGAATGATATAAGACTATTATTTAGAAAGAGAAATTGAAAGATGTACAATAGACCTTTCACTCTGTCAGAGACTTCTATGAATAACATAAATTCAACCATACATTCTTCAACCAATTAAGAAAGAAATTGTTATGCCTGGGAAAATAGGGCTGATGTGGCGCCCAGTTAAGTGCGAAAGGTCAGACCTCGGGAAGAGTCCGCTGACATTCTAGCGCAGCCACGTCGCATCATGATGCAAGCAGCACACTCCTGTCAGTACAGTAGGTGCGCACCAGATTGAAGAAAGGCTAGAGGATGTCCACGTGTCCAATCTCTGCAGCAAATCGCGTGAATTACTCTAGAAGGTGGGAAATGTGACATAAAGAAGGATTTGCACGGATAATCCCACCAACTCACAGATTTAGTAATGATAACCTTAATCCATTCCACTATAAATTGGAAACTCTCCTCTTATTTGAGGGATTAGCTACCCTCTCTCTAGAAAATACAGCATTTGATACCTTGTATTATCATTGTAAAGTCAGTCGGTTGAAGCGACCTGACCCTTATCATTAATACAAACATCAGTGGACGTATGACTTGCTTCCTTAGCATCCGAACCACTTTAAAACTCCTTTCTCACTGCATTTGCTCTCGATTCTTTTGCTTTCACGTTTGTCTTCTGGGCTAGCTCAGCATCTCACACGTGCGTTTTGTTGGTGTCAAAATCACGTATCAGCAGTTTGGCGCTAGAAGGAGGGGGGATTTGGTATTCGTCCTTCATCAGAAGAATCTCTAACCTGTCGGCCCTACAATAGCAAATGGCTCACTGATTTGAACCTGAGAAAACCAACCAGAATACTGCGGGGATCCCTCAAATGCAGGAGGATACCTCCCCCGAGGTACCCTCGTGCCCCGGAGACTACTGCAGGGAACATCCCGTCAAGTTCACAACTTGACCCTACCGTTCTAAGCTACCTAGAAAGGTTCAATAATACTCTCCAAACGGTCAAGCGGAGATTAGACCGTTTGGACCAGGATGTACCGCCCAAGTCGAATGAGGTTGTGCAACTGCCAAAAAGGCCTGCAGGTCACGCGAGAGCGCGGAAAAGGGCGATAGCCCGTGCCGCAAGCACTGCAGCACGCCGAAGAAAGGGTAAGCAAGTGGCGAATGGGCCTAAGAGCTCAAAAGGCCCAGCGAACGCAGACCACGCCCCTAGTAGAATACCTATGGCGTTGAGACTCGGTGAAAGGGTGCAGCCCGAGCCATCCCACGCCACGTCGCATGAAAACCCCCACAAAAGTGCTAGGCAGGGCAATTCTCATTACTGCCAAAACGATCCTGATCGTCACGCGGGAAGCTACCACACTCCACGGGTCGGTTCGCACCATCGCGGAGGTCGTGAAAGTTCCCCGAATAATGCAACGCCATCACACGGCTCTAGCCAGCGTGTGTCAAGATTGGCCAGGACTGCCGGTGGAGGCGAGGGGGAATCCGACCTATGGTCATTCCTCAACCGTAACAGTGAGGGTCGCACCCACGTTGCGAAAAGTATTCCCCAAGTAGCACCGCTACCTCAAATCGAAGAGCTGTAGCGAGCTCTTGATCAGCTGAAAGCTCAGCAAAACGAGCAAGGGCAGGTCGCATTGGCGTCTCCCTTTTCCCCAGTGGTATTAGCCGCCCCACTACCATCGGGGTTTAGAATGCCCGACATGTGGGCGTTCGATGGAAATTCTGATCCGCAGGATCACTTATATGAATTCAACGACCTGATGGAGCTTCACCAGGTCTCAAATTTGGCAAAATGTTGGTGTTTGGCAGTGACCTTAACCTCTCATGCCAAACGGTGGCTTAGGTCGCTCCCAACAAGATCGATCAGCTCATGGCCTCAAATGAGCACGACGTTCCTAAGACACTTCCAAGCGAACAGAAAGTTCTCAATGCCTTTGAGCTACCTCAGCAACATAAGGCAAGAGAGGGATGAATCCCTCCAATCATATATAGACAGATTCCACAAAGAACTCAACAAAGTGGCTCACACTCACGAGGAGTCTGTTCAGACTCTCAACATTGCAGGAGTTTGCCCGCAAACCCACCTGTGGAAAGAGCTACAGGCTGAGGATGATGTTTCCCTCACCCATTTTTACAATCTCACGAAGAAGTATCTCCGTATTGAAAGTTCTATAGCGGCATTCTACCGTCGCGATCACGGCACCTCAGGCAGTGCGCTTGGTCGGGAAGAAAGAATGAGAGTTGATCGCAGATGGGCTCCTGACGATCAGCGAAAAGGGAAGAAGCCGTGCTATGAGCCAAAAAAATCTTATGCCCCAGTTTCTTGTCGCGATCGTGATAGGAACCAATATACCCCTTTGAATGCATCTGTATTGGCTATTCTTGACAAATTAGAAGAGGCCAGCCTACTCGAAGAACTTGAGCCCATGAATAATCCCCCATCGGCCAGGAACAGTAAAAAATATTATCGCTATCATCGGGACAATGAGCACCATACCGATGAATGCTGAGCTCTAAAGCAGACGATCGAAAACCTCATCAAGCAGTGACATTTGAAGGAGTATATTGATGACTCTACTCCCTCACAAGAAAAAAATCAGGGGGAGCCAAGTAAGAAGCGCCGTGATCAGAAAGGAGTGTGCACCCTCAATTTAATCTTCGGGGGACCGCACTTCGCGGGGAACTCGCGAGGTGCCCAAGAAAGGTATGCTCGCGAGGCACATCACGACCCCATCAGAACGATGAGCATGGCACAACGACTGCAAAAGGTTCACCGGGAGGAGGAAATTTCCTTCTCTAAAAAAGATGCAGCTCGGCTGCATCATCCTCACGATGATGCCCTTGTGATCATGCCCCTCATAGGGCGCCATAATGTCCAAAGAATGTTAGTGGATAACGGAAGTGCTGTGAACATCCTATTCGCTTCAACTTTCGAAAGAATGAATTTGGACGAGGCCGATCTGAAGCCTGCTTCGTTCCCTTTATATGGCTTCACAAGGGACCACCTGCTCCCCAAGGGAACGATCTCACTCCCATTCATGCTGGGTGACTTAGACGAGGTGACCAAGGAAATTGAGTTCTTAGTAGTGGATTGCCCATCCGCCTTTAATGGAACCCTAGGGCGACCTCTGCTTAGACACTTCAAGGCAGTCACTTCAATATACCATCTGAAGATGAAGTTCCCCACCCCGACGGGGATTGGGGAAGTCAACGGGTCTTGACGCATATCTCGCGATATGTGAAAGCAGTACAGATGGCGTGCAAAGGCAAAGGCACCTCGCACAACAATCACAACAAGGCAATGGCGATTAGCCGGATCTAGCCATAACCTGGCCCAGCCGAGAATAATATAGATCCTCGCATTTAGGACTGCCCTTCCAGTGGGCCAGTTGAGGACCTGACTGAAGTACTGGTCGACCAGAACGAACCAAGCAGGGTGTTAAGG